ACCCATGCAGCTAACTCCACCACTGAGGAGAAGCAGTTGTACTTTGACTCAGTTACATACTAGAATGCCTGATTTTGGGGAGGGGGGTTGCACCCAAATCATGATTAATGTTATACACATTATTTACACACAGAGACAAGTTTATTTTCATAATGTACTTGATGAGATTATTGGATTTGGTCCTGAATCATAGAATCAGGTATTGGAGGGGACTCAAAGAGCATTCTAGTCCAACCCTTGAAATGCGTATGAGAGTGGTTAAAATCCTGCAGAAATTTCATCAGAAATCAAAAGCTCTCCATTCTAGGCACCCTCAAATGTCCTTGTTCCAAAGCCAGCAACAAGTTTAGACTTCCTGAAAAATAAAACCATGAATATTGACTGACGGAGTCTTATCCGAACCTGGGATGTGCTTGTTTTATCATTTTAAAGCATTATTTTGCTACAACTGTTATTATTTTTTAAGTACAGGGGTGGCTTAGGGATGTGTTTCATGCTCCTGGTACTTTGTTCTGGCCCTAACACTAGGGGTTTCCATGGAATCTAATCTGTTTGTATTCTAATGCAAACGGACCTCTTAGAGTCCTAGCCTTACTGGGATACACAGGACTCCAGGGAACTGGGAAGTCTGACAGGCAGCCAATCCTAGCTGGGAACTTCCTATACAACCAGCCTGAGTACAACCTCCACAGCAAAGGAAAGTGGACTACCTAATATCATGGCAGCCGTCAATGTCATTAACAGGTGATGACTCTGCCCACCTATGATCAATGATCCTGGGTGAATTTAACATCCATGCAGAGGCTGTTGCTAGACCAGCTCAGGACTTCACAGTCTTCATGGCAACCATTACACTGTCTCAAATTGTCATCTATCTAAAACACTGAGCCGGGCATGATTTAGTCTCTGCTCAGAGTGATGTGAGGGATGGCTTGAGGGTACGGGATGCTGATGTCACACTGCTATGGTTTGAGCACCATCTGGCAAAATTTGGATTCGTGGTGGCAATCTCATCCCTTGTTAGGGCGGTAGACCTGTTTGGAAGGTCCATCTCCCAGGAGACTGATGGAACCTTATGGATTCCTGAATGTTCTATGGGATTTTCCAGTGGCGAAAGCCGACAATCACAGTGAAGCCATGGTCAGAATGATGACAACAATTAATTTATATATCACTTACATGCCAAAAAGGCTTCTAAGAGGTTTAAAAGTGTAAAACTACTGGTAAAAATAAATCTGCAAGTAATTAAAATATACAAGAAAAAAATTCTGCCAGAATGTTTAAAACCTCAAAAACCAAAGTTTACAATACAACAAACCTTTAAACAGCATAGCAAGACAATGCAACAATTGAAATTATTCATTGAGGAGGTTCAGGTCAAGTTGGAGGTCAGGGGAACAGTTGTCTAAACAGGCATGACTTCAGTAGCCAGGGGAATGCCAGTGCTGATGGGGCTCTCCCATTTCTGCAGGGTAGGCATTGCTCAACAATGGTGCTATCAGTGAAAAAAGCCCACCTCCACATTCCTGTGTTAAGAAGAGACGGGTGGTTTACACCATTGGCCCTGAGTGTCCACTATCAAAGCAGCCAGAGCTGTGGATTTCAGGATCCCACCAACACATTTGGCAGGGTATACATGTGTGTGTCACAGCTGGGGAGAGAAGGGTTACAGAGTAAATGTCATTTTATTTTCCAATACAGAGTTTAGAAGCAGAACAAGGGGTGATTAGGGTCTGACAGTTTTAATGCACAATCCTGTCGCTTTCTGCTGTCAGATACAGACCTCTAACCTCAAGTTCCCTTGCTGTGGCTTTAACGACTGACCTGGGATTAATCCATACTTTTCAAGTGCCCCTAATAATGAGAGAAGCTCTCATTTTTTTTTCAGAGAAATAAATAAATGGCATTATTCCTCTCTGGTGCTGAGACTAGGAATGTTCGTGCCCAGGCAGGCATTTTGCTCCCAAGAAACAAACCAGATCATACAAATTCAAAGAAAAAACTGTCTCTGAGAAATCTCAAACAAGAGTATAATGTGGGAATTACAACTGGACTGATTTGGAGATTATTTGGCAGACTCAGGAGCCAGAGAGTATCTACTGCTGAAAGGCTCACAGATGCTCACATAAACCTAACCTTTTCAGACCTTATTGTATCATACCAAGCCTGACGGTTGCCTTTTTCATCTATTGCCTTGGAAGCATTTCTCCACATCCACCTCCCTGCCAATTTCTACAAGGGCCACCCTGATAACTCGTAGACATCCAGTGAGGTTGGACAGATAAAAGGAAGTACTGCTTCACGCAGCACATTTTTAAACTATGGAACTCACTCCCACAAGAGACAGTGATGGCTACCAACCTACACGACTTTAAAAGAGGATTAGACAAGTTCATGGAGGAGAAGGTTTTTGATGGACACTAGCCATGATTGCTATGGTCAGGGGCAGTAATGCTTCTGAGTACTGTTTGCTGGAAATCACAGGAGGGGAGAGTGCTCTCTGCTTGGGTTCTGGTTGAGGGTTTCAAACTGAGTCATCTCGTTGGCCACTGTGAGAACAGGATGCTGGACTATATGGGCCATTGGACTGATCCAGCAGAGCTCTCTTGATCTTCTCATGAGACAAAGGGGGAGGAAGCTGACAGCCAAGGGCCACTCCTGGACTAGATGTAAGAAGGCAGGTAGATGAGGACCAGCTGGAGGAGGACGGAGGGGGAGGGGAATGGCTGCACCTGTCATTGGCTCTGACTCCACCTACAGTTGGCCTCCCTACCTTCTTCCCCATGACTTCCAATTACCCACAACTACTACCTGACTCCTCATATCTTAGCATGCACTGGGTGTGATTCATGGCAAAAAGGAGCCCAAACCAGGTCAGGGACTCATACAGAGATGCAACAGAGACTTCTCTCTGTGAATGACGCCTTGGGCTTACATTATTCTAATTATTAAGGCTCTAACATGCCTCTTTTTTAGCATACACAGCAGACAGTTTGGGAATTCATATTCTGAAAATGACATTGATGCAGAACCTAACAGTGTCTATCTGCTTACTTTGAAGGGAGCCAAGGGAGATCCACCGCCCTCACCCTCAAAAAAAAAGAAAAAGAAAGAAAGCCTGATTATACAGGAGTCTAATTATGGATTTAGATATCTAACTTGGAAAATGCCAAGTGATCTGCTCTAATGAGATTTGAAGACTTAATACCTGAATGTCCACAATTATGTTTGTAGCTGGAGGTTCGTCTGCCAATCAGAAAATTAGCCTTTGGCATCGGAGTAGTTCATTAAGCCTTGTTGATGATGGTAGGATAAGGTTCCCAAAATGGACCCGAGACAAAGGACTTAATCAACCATTCCCAGAGGGTGGGAAGCCTCATGGGCAGATTGGATAGTTAGAGGCAAGGAAACACCATTGAAAACAGGCAAGAACAAGTCGGCCTCTTAATTCTCCTGGACCTCTCCTAGGGAACTGCCTCAGACCAGGTTGAAAGTTGGTGCATCTAGACCAGTGCTGTCTACTCTGTCTAGCAGCCACCATCAAGGGACACTGGCAAAAACTATTCTGTTCCATTACCTGCTCCCCATTCTGCCTGACTTAGGAGTGGGGAATATTTTTCAGCCAGAGGGCCATAATCTCCTCTCAGTAAGCTTGCAGGGACCATGTGCAGGTGGTGGGTGGGCCCAGAGGCAAAAGTGGGTGGAGCAACAAATGTAAATGTTACCTGGCAGCAGTGTTGTTGTTGTTGTTGTTGTTGTTATCACGTTCCCCATACAATTAACTCAAAGCAGCTTTCAGTAAGCTCCCACTCACACCCCATCCATTGCTCCACCCACTTTTCTTCTGGCCCCACCCACCACTGTGATGTGGCCCCTGAAAGCACACTCGAAAGGGAATGTGGCCCTCAGACTGGAAAAGGTTCGCCACTTTGTGCTGTAACAAAGACTTTAGTAGATACACATCGAAAACCCACCTGAAAAGTTACACAAATATCCTCTTGTCTTCCATGGCTCATTTATGGCCTCTGTCTCCGAGTAGGATGTCTTAGTCCTGCCTTTTTTGTGAATATGGAGGTGCTTTAGATTTTAGCTTTAACACTGTTTTATGTTGGTTTTAATGAATGTTTGTAAGTTGCTTTGAGTTCTTTTGTGTAAGAAAAGAGACTAATAAGTAATAATAATAATAATAATAAGCATAATAATATCATGGCAGCTCGAATAGTAATTGCAACTCAGTGGCAAACAGCCCCAAATCTTACATGGGGCACTTGGTACCATTCATATTGGAATACAACTTATAATGGAAAAAACTTATGCATAATCTGATATTTTGACAGGGACTAGAACCTTTCTATATGATTTGACATTCCTTTATTGCATATACAGTGGAAACATCATTTCAAGACAACCTTCAGTAGCAGCCTGGCAAATCTGCAAAATAATAATAATAATAATAATAATAATAATAATAATAATAATAATAATAATTCTTTATGTGAAGGCAACTTTTATCCTTGCTTTCTTCATTGATGGCTTGGACTTTGTCATTCAACCCATATGCAAGTGTACCTTTTTCTCAGGACCGGTCCACCCATCAGGTGGGGTAAGGAAACCACCTAAGGTGGCAAAAGGCCAAGAGGCAGCAGCCCCATGGGGACCCTGCCCACCCCACCACTGGTAGCAGCAGTAGCACTGGCTTCTGGTGAAATCTTGCAAGCTCTCAGTGGAAGCTACTGCTGCCACTTCGCAGGCAAGTGGCACACAACCCAGTTAAGCGAGGCAACAGCAGCGCAGCTACATTACTGTTTCACCTCTGGTGATGAAACAGAACATGCGTCCTTTACTTATTCCATGTGCTTAGTTTATAGTTTTGTTTTTCATCTTTTAATGTCCATCATTATAATTGTTTTCTCTGTTTCATGCACATTATAAAATTAAATTTAAAAAATCATTGCAGCAACAACGATAATATGACCAATGTCCATCTCATCTCCCTCCAGATATGTCCACACCTCTCCACCTTCCAAGACAAGGAATCGTACCAGAGGGCTCTGAAGGCCTTCCAGTCAGAAATCCCTGTGAGGCTTGGGCCCCTGGCTCAGGGCCTTTACACCACCACTGCCTGCTAAGGATCATCCAGAGGAAAAAACAGAGAATCAAAGCTCCAGCTTCTGCACAGCCTCGGCATCCTACTATAATCTTCCATTGCATGTTTCAGATTTCAGGTCTATGTTTGTATTTGTGAAGTTGATTACGCTCATAATTGACTAAGCACCTTCTGTCTCTACATTAAACATTTATTCAGTTAATTCATTTGTCAGTTAATTCACTGGAAGCATTTTTTATTTTTAAAAAACTCTGCTGTTGACCCAAAAAATGGTACTGTAGTAGCTTGCATAAGGTCAGGACTGACCAAGGCAGTCTCTGCCCCAAGCACCTTACAAATCTAATAGTCCAGAGTTCATACTGCAAATACATTCTGACACTTTGAATGTTTCAGTTTCTTGTTTTTTTCTGTAAGCTGCTTAGAGGTTCTGTTTGCAACCAAGCAGTGTATAATTTTTGTGAAATAAAAGAAGCAGATAATGAAACAACACTATGTCATTCGCAGCTTTTAAAGAAGTGTGCTTAACATGACCATTCCCCCCCAAAAAAAAGTTTATTAGTTTTTCAAAAAGGCAGCATGTGAGTAAAATAAACAATACATGAAACAAAAAAAAGCACTTATAGTGGAGCACTTATGCCAGTTGTAGAAATAAAGGTGTAATTCAGTTATGTTTATTACAATAAAGAAGGTTCTGTGGAGGAAGCTTCCTTCAGAGTGCCTCGTACCATAAGAGACGGGGTAAAGTCACATGGAGACCAAGTATCCTCTCCATCACAAAGACAATGATCTGCTTACAGAATTCGCTCCCACCAGAGGCAGTGATGGCCACCAACCTCAACAGCTTTAAAATAGGATTAGACAAATTCATAGAGGAGAAGGCTTTCAATGGCTGCTAGCCACGATGGTAACTAACTATGCTCTTCTTCCACAGCTGGAAACCACAGGGTGGGAGAGGGCTATTGCTTGCAGGTTTCTGCTTAGCCACTGTGAGAACAGGATGCTGCACTACATGGCCTGATCCAGCAGGCTCTTACAGCTGTATCAATCAAACATGGGAGATAATGTGAGGATAAGACTGATAAAATGATCGGGCTGTAACACAGTTGATAATGTGTTCTGCCAGGGGGCTATATAATTCACTGTTTTTATTAATAAAACTCGCAAGGGGGAATCATGCAAACATCAAAATGGTGAAATCTCTTGTGTCCCCTAAGCACCCTGCAATGTGTTCAGCTACTGCAGCACCCCACACTCTTCCAAGCCATCTATCATGAGAGGGGCTGGATGGAGACTGTGACTGCTTTATTTTTGAAGCAGCACCATCAGCAACGAGATCTTTATCTAAAATGGGGTCAGGAACCCCAGACCTGGGGGCCAGAGGCAGCCCCCCTTCTCTCTCTGGCCCTCAGAACTCTCCCTAGGTCATGCCCTAATAGTGTTTGGAGTTTATATGTATTAGCGGACACTTTGCTTAGCAATAGATCCACCTGGAGCACACCTTACCCTGACTGCCATCACACTGAGTCACACCTGAGTATGAAAGTAAGAAATTTTAGTTTATTGTAGGAAACACACACTTGATAGAAAAAGATGCCTGGTTCTTGCTCTTTCATGTCTGCAGGGGAGAGAGGCCTAAGAATGGGGTCTCCTCTCCCAAGGTGGAGAGAGCCAGAGGAGGGCAGGTGTGGGGTGAGGAGAAAGAGAAAGTCAAAAGAAATGGGGTGATGGAAGGTGGAGAGGGGTAAGTCCTCTATATAGTTTGGAAGGCGTTTGACAATAGTGTTCTGTTCCTTCTCTGACAGTTCTCTAGATAGGGTGGTAGAGGGATAGAGAAGAGAGAGAAAGGGCTGACAGAAAGAGAAAGAGGTAGCAGTGAGAGAGAAAATGAAGAGGAGGCAGAGAGAGAGAGAAAACGGGGGGGGGGCAGCAAGAAAGGGAGGGAAATGAGAGGGGAGGATGGCCCCTGTCAGATTACCACCCTGAGAATGTGACGCCCAGACAGAAGAGAGACTCCTCAACCCTGCCCAAAACCAAGATAATGCTTTGATCCCCTCAAAAGGGAGACTTGTGTGTAGCTTCTAAGAAATGGAATGTTTTCTTAGACATTCAACAGCAGAGCATCGTCAAAGGCATTCTGGTAAAAGGAAACTAGTAAAAGTATAGGCCCAAAACCTAAGTTTGTTAGTCTTTGAGTATCACTAGAGTAGTTGCAATTTATTTAAAAAATAAAGTAAATAACCGCAACAGGTGATCTCAAAATAAGAACCTAAGAAGAGCCTTCTGGATCAGGTCAATGGCCCATCTAGTCCAGCATCTTGTTCTCACAGGGCCCAAGCAGATGCCCACAATAAGAACCCAAGAACAAGAGTACTGTACTCTGCGCACCTGTGATTCCCAGCAGCTGTTATTTAGAGGATTTGTCCACACTTCTGCATGTCCCATGGCTAGAAAGCATGAGACCAATGGGTCTTCTGCCCCCTCCTATGCTTTCTAGGCATGAGTATGAACAGGTTTTTAAAAAAATTGTCCTGCTGCTATCCCCAGGAAAACCCACTGCTTCCTGCTGAATTGGAACAAACGTCAATCTACAGGAAAGAAACAATTGATGTTCGTTCCGATTCAGAGGGAAACAGCAGGCTTTTCTGGGGGAAAGCAGCAAGGAATGCTGGAGTGTGGTCTAGCCCAGAGGCAGACAGCCTCCAGAAGTGGATGTAGAACACTAGAAGAGCCTGACTGCTGAGTCAGGCCAGTAACCCATCGAGTCCAGCCCACAAACAGGACCTAAGTGCAACAAGCAAGCTCCCCACCTTCAACTAGTATTCAGAGGCATTCTGCCTCTGACCATGGAAGTACTAAGTGGCCATCGCAGCGAATAGTATCCTCCATGAATTTGCCTAATCCTCTTTTTAAAGGACATCCAAATCGGTGGCAGTCACTCCCTCTTGTGGCAACAAAATTCAATAGCTTAGTAATTCTGGCATGTGACTCGCACGTACAATTTTTGAAATGCAGTCTTGATTACCTGTAAGAGGCAAGTTTGCTGGGAACCCCTCTCCAAACTAAAACTCTTCCCTCTTCCCACTACTGCATTTGCTAACAGCTGCCATGGAGGGATTCCCTGCCTGGGCATTTTGTAACGGAGGTTCTCTGTCAAATGGGCTTCCCTTATGCCTTCCCTTGAAACATCCCACTTCCCAGATCGGATAGTCACTGTTCTTGCTTGCCTCCTATCTTTCAAATCACACACACACACACACACACACACACACACACACACACACACACGAATGCCTCCTTGTCCTGTAGTGACACCCACTGGTAACTCCAATGTCATTTCAAACTCCCATCAACCAAGTTTTTTTTTCTTCCCTTCCTTACATTCTCATCTCTCTTTTTTGGAGGTGAATGACTTATATGGAAAAGCTGGCTCTCCTTTCCTTTTAAAAATCATATTTCTGACACCCTTTCACCCCTTTTATTGCCATGAAACCTTGACCACATTCACACCATAGATTTAATGCACTGTGATACCATTTTCAACAGTTATGGCTTCCCCTAAATAATTCTGGGAACTATGGTTTGTCAAGGGTGCTGAGAGTTGTTAGGAGAACCCCCCCCCATTCCCCTCCCTGAGCTACAAATCCTGGAATGGTTTAACAATCAATCCCTTTTCACAGGAAACTCTGGGAATTAATGGTGGCTCTGTGTATCATTGCAGGTACTAGAACAGGCCAGTGGCGGAGCTTCATGCTCCAGCACCGAGGGGGGTAGAGCAGGCAGGGGCGGGGCGTGCCACCTGCGGGGATGGGGCATCCAGTGCGGGGGGGACAGACACCTGCCATGGCACCCTGCCGGGATGGTGCTGCCAGGGGCGGTGCGCTCCCCCCGCACTCCTCTTCCACCAGTGGAACAGGCCTAGGCAAACTCGGCCCTCCAGATGTTTTGGGACTACAACTCCCATCATCCCTAGCTAACAGGACTAGTGGTCAGGGATGATGGGAATTGTAGTCTCAAAACATCTGGAGGGCCGAGTTTGCCTATGCCTGTACTAGAACATAAGAACCTGAGAAGAGGCTGCTGGGTCAGGCCAGTAATGCATCTGGTCCAGCAGCCTATTATCACAGTGGTTACACACCTGGAGATGCCAGGGGATTGAACCTGGGACCTTTTGAATGCAAAGCAGATGCTTTACCACTGAGCTACAGCCTCACAGCCCATCTATCTGGATGGGGAGGTGTGTAGAAATTTCTGGGTTTTGTGTGGCTGGAAAATACTCTACTATGAGAGTCACATCCAGTGCCCTACCCACTCTTGCCTCTGGCCCCACCCACCAGTGACCAACAGACGCTGGAAGGCAATCCTGGTCATTTCAAGACTGATGACATCATATTCTGGATGGCTATTTGACTATCCTCCAGATGCCAAATAAATAAGCTTTTTTCAGGGGGTAAGCCCTCAAGAGGACTCTGAGCAGAGCATGAAGTTCATTAGCATGCAAATATCAACAGAAGTATAGTGTCCAGATCAAGGGAAGTAATAGTACTGCTCTTTTCTGCCTTGGTCAGACCCCACCTGGAGTCCTGTGTCCAATTCTGGGCACCTCAATTTAAGGATATTGACAAGCAGAAATGTTTGCAGAGGAGGGTGACCAAGATGATCAAGGGTCTGCAAAGCAAGCCTTATGAGCAACAGTTGAAGGAGTGGGGTCTGTTTTGCCTGAAAAAGAAGAGACTGAGAGGCGATATGATAGCCATCTTCAAATGTCTAAAGGAAGATGGAGCAATCTTGTTTTCTCCTGGTCTGGAGGGTAGGACTTGAACCCATGACTTCACTCTCCAAGAAGGGAGATTCTGACTAAACATTAGGAAGAACTTTCTGACAGTAAGAGCTGTTTGACAGTGGAAAGGTCTCCCTCTGGAGGTGGTGGACTCTCCTTTCTGGAGGTTTTTAAGCAGAGGTTGGACGGCCAACTGTTATGGATGTTTTAGCTCAGTTTCGGGGGGTGGAGGTGGTGTGTGTGAACTAGATGACCCTTCCAACTCTACATTTCTATGATTCTATACCTGGCTAAGGGTTCAAATGGCTTTTTAATGTCTAAATAAATAAATAAAAATTCCAGCCAACCAAAAAAGGCCTGAGACTTCTTGGTTAGTGACCCAGCTGCTGGTAAAGAAACAGTATCAGTAATCAACAACCCTGTAA